ACCGTCCTCATCCATCAGAATTTATAATGAGAATAAAGAGTAGAGTAAAACTTCTTAGCTCATCGAAAGTGATATGTAATCTCTTTCTGGATGAATGAAAAAGCTAAACTATAATAGTTATCATTTTCTTATTTCTGAAAAGAAGACAACATAACAATTTTATTCTATTTAATTTATAATTATATCTTCCTACTCTATTTATCATCATGCAGTTCATCATAGAGAGAGCGAGAGAGAGAGAGAGAATAACGGGAACATTCTTGTGTGAAAATAAACAAAATATTTCTAAAATATATACTATTAAATAAAACGTCTCAGTTTGAAACTATTTATTAAGTTACATTTTATAGAGATGTAAGTGTACAGAAAATTCGTGAAGCTTGCAGACTGTCTGCGTATTTCATATTGAATAATAATCTACTTTATCCATCTAAATATAAACAAACATGACATCAAGTGTAGGTCCATTATAGAGATAGATAAAAAAATAGAAGAGACTATGAACTTGTACTTTTAGAGATACTTTTAAATTCTCTGCATCAACTTCAATTTTACTCAATGATTCTGTTTCTGATTTCAAAAGGAGAGAGAATATGTTAATAGATATCACGCCCGCTCTTTTCTTTTACAATAGTAAAACAAATTCAAGTTTACAGTGTAAAGGGTATTCAGCAATAAAAAATTTCTAACTCGCAAGCATATTTGATGAAGAACTCTTATGATTATAGAGATTTTTATGCAGACATGTAGTCAAAAATCTACACGACACAACAGCGCAAATTAGAGACGTTCACGAGAAAGCATACTATAAAAGCATTCAGCGAAAAGGCATAGTGCTGAAATGCACATGACATAGACCAATCGCTACCGTGGATCTGAAATCTCTTAGAAACCAACAAATAGTCTTCGAATATCAACCGTATTAGCAGCTCACGCGTTCCTCTGGAGCTTAGCCAAAAATATTAGAGAACTGCTTTAAATTTTTGTTTTTCATATGTAAAAAATATATGAGAAGCCCACGAAAACACCATAGGAATATGTGATGAAAAAAGCGTCCACATTTCGACGCATTTCTTATTATAGGCACTAGTGAAAAAAGACTCAAAACGAAGGTATGTAGTAGTCCAGTGATACTTGTTGAAGATAGCTAGTAGAAACATGCTGAAGAGCAATAATTGAAAACCTTTATAACTCTTCTGCACAGATTGAGGCTTGAGCAGTTTGCAAAACCAAAATTTGGTTAGTTAAACTAACATAGAATCCGGATGAGAAATTTACTTGTAGGAGTTGCACATTTGTCCCGTTTTGGTTTAACTTTTTCTTGATCTCTCAACACTACCATAGTTAACTGTCCTAGGAAAACGGAATTGATTGGTAGTTTGCGGGTCTTTTTTAAAAGCGTAAAGGCGGCTCAAATTTCTGCACAAACATTTTTATTTTTCACTAGGACTGAAGTGATTTTTAACCATTGGCAATTCAACGATTTCATTTCCTTACAAATCGTCTGAATAGCTAAGAGGGATCTCAGGCAGTTTTGATCGAAGAATTTAGTTTAGATCATAGTTACAGAATAGTCGCAGCAAGCGCTAACGCGGTGAACGTACTTGATGGCTTGATCGCAAGGACTTCGAAAAGTTGGCAAGTGTTCTTAAAATTTCGCTTTACTTGCAATGAGCTTGTAAGAGTACTTCTCCAGTATTGTGATACTTGGTTTTAGTACTACGAGGGAGTTTGTGGAAGAACTTTCGATTTGACATGACAAGTACTTGAACGAGTGAGGCAAGTACTTAAAAGTAATTTTATCTCGGATAAAAGGCAAGTATTGGCTTCATTACACAAGCGAAATACTTATCCCAAGTAACTGGATCCAAGTACATTCACTAGTGTATGTCCCTCAACAGTCCAGCAGTTCATTCAAAATTAGCTTAACCGACGAGACACTCAAACTTATTTTCTCTGATGTATAGGACTGATGGCCGCACAAAAGCCATAAAACATCTTAAAAGTTCTTCAATTCAAAGTTCGAAAATATGTACCGAAGTTATTCTACTCTACGTTATACTTTCAAGAGATCTTATACCTCTTCTTTTCTCTTTTTTTTAGATCTGACACCTCTATATTACTGCTTGTTGATTACTTCAATGGTGTCCACACATCATCATAATAAACTTCTGAGAATGCACTTGAGATAGTAATATAACTGACAATAGAAAAAAGAAGTGCACGCATGTCGTCGATGGAGTAAGTTAATTCTTTGGCCGTAGTGACACATTCTGCTAATCTACTCTTTCAGATTTTTGTCCAACAGCACAGTCACAACGAATGCCACTAATACTCAAGACGTTTGGATAATATTAGGATCATTTTATAAAGTTATTTATCGTGGCTATTTTTCATTTCTTATTGTTTTCGGCACATCGTTCAATATTCTAACAGCCATTACATTATTACGTGCAAAATTACGGCGTTTTTCAACATGTCGATATATGGCCGTTTGTTCATTACTGAATGTTGGCGTTCTGCTTACAAATACATTATATATGACGTTAGTAATGGGATGGCAAATTGATTTACGCAGTTCAATATTATGGTGTCGCATTCATGTTTTCGTATCACAATGGTTTCGTGGATTTGCTTCATGGATACTTGTTATTGTTGCCATTGATAGATACCGACGATCGAGAAGTTTAAGACCCAGAACACAATCGAAAAATCATATTGTGACAATAAGGTGTGTCATTGCCGGTTTAGCATTAGTTTTTCCGAATATTCATTATCTATTGCTAATTGGCGGTGTGGTGACATTGAAAGCTGATGGTGTAACGTACGAACATTATGCATGTTCGTTTCATAAATATTCAACTAATCCCATCCACAGTTGGCTAGCATCATCAAATACATGGTTGGAATTAATCACAATTATATTCATTGTAAGAATATTGAATTCAACTAAGAAGAAGCGAGAGGGTTGAAAAATAGTGCTATAGAACGCTTCCCTTTCCTAATTCTTCCTTCAGCCTTAAATCTTTGATACTGGTCGACTCGAAATTTTGTGATCTTTGCCTGATGATCTGTCTCAGAATCATTTAACATCCACATGATTTCCCCAGTCAGAAAAGTAATTGATAATCAAATTTTGTTAAAACGAAGAGCTAAAAATCATATAGTCTTTCTTAAGTATGCATTTGTTTCATTTCAGCCTAGTATTTTAACGTTGATATTCAATATATTTATTATTAAAAATTCGTTTATTAGACCAGTGGAAAATGAACATTTAAAATCTCGTTCAAAAACGCGTACACGCCGTGTTACCACCATGTTATTAGCATCCAATATCGGATTTTTGGCACTTGTTTCACCAGCACAAATATTTAATGCATTAACATTTGATCCCAATTCAATTAAATCGCAAGATAAATATTTTTTTTCCTATATGATTAAAGCTCAAATATATCAATGTTTAATAAATACATATTATGCCATGAACTTTGTTTTCTGTTTTGCATCATCATCTTTTTTTCGACGCGAAATACGAAAATTTATCAATAGTTCGCGTTTAAGACGAAAAGCCGAATCAAGTACAAATAATATTAGACATAAGAAAGTGAATAGTAAAGAAACAGTTACTGAAACAACAACGATATTAGGTGAAAGAAAACGCGCAACAGAATCAACTATTGACGCTTTTAAACATTGAATGAACAAAATATCTTTATTTTTCGTTGTGTGTGTTTTATTTTATGTGAACAGAGCATATCGTGATTTTTTGCTGGTAGTACCATTACTGGTTGTCATTTCTCAATATTACTTTGACGTTTGTATACATCTCTCTTTCTCTCTCTCGTCTTCTTCTTCAATCTTTTGGTTTGATTAATGTTAAATGGTTTCTTTCTGTATACTTGTTATTAATTTCTTTTTTATTAAGTCATTCCACAACAAACCGGTAGATATATTTTAGTATTTTTTATCATGTTTGTGAACAACATGTTGTATTTTATCTTCTTTATTAAACAGAAAAACTATTGTTTAGTGTGGAGGACGATTAAATAATACGTACGAAAGATTATCAACGAATAAATGGTAGTAGTTCAATTTTGTTTTGTATTGAGCAGCTGGTCTCTTAGGGCATCGAGTCGTTTATTCAATCATTATTTAGAGAAAAAGAAACAACAAAATTGTCAGATTTTATTTAAAGTGTTCAAGTTGTCAGTGAGAAGGTTTACATTTTTAACTTGGTACAGGACTACTTTGATAAGCTTTTAATTTGATTTCGACGATAAATTATGTAGGCTATCTCTATCATTTTGACATTTTGGAAATAAAAGATCAATAAAAAGAAAATGTTTTTTCTCCACGAGCCAAATGGCTTTTAATGTTTAATGTTTGTTTAATAACGGCAAATTGAACTAACATAAAAGAATTTCATCGAAACCACGACTTTTATCTATATAATGATGTTGGCTAACATGCAAGGTTAGATGCTGTCAAAAGAACAATTCATTTCTTCATATCGATTAGAATTATATCTAATTTATATTAAAAACAAAAACTTTTTGACTTGTGTACAATCGTTAAAACTATGCTTGTCGTAATGCTAGATAATACATATGAGTAATTTGCAAAAAGAATTTCCATCCGATTCGTCTGCAGAAAAAAAGTCAAGTCATATCTTTTTCGTCTTCATATGTCAGTGTTTTTCTCTTTTATAAAGTAAACTTCCTTATACCTTTTCTAAAAGTGACTAATTGAAAAGTACATATCAGACATTTTTATTTCGTCATAAATCTATGTAAAGAGACACCATGACATGATGGGAAGTGAAATCGAAGTGTGACTAACGTTTCGATCTGTTTGCTTCTACAAGTTTTTCTACAAACGACTTGAGCAATGAAGCTAATAATTTGCATAATTGTAGTATGATCGTGCTTTATTGTAGTGTTGCAATAGAAAAAAATGCGCAAGAAGCGAAAGCAGTTTCATTCTCCACGATGCGTGAAGCCCATGACTTGTTTGTGTGTAATAGTTTGATGCTAGATCAGTTATATGTTCGAATAGTGAGTTATGATCTATATATATTTTGCATAAAAAAGCTGCCGATTCGAAGAAAATTTAAAAGGTTTCTCCGACTTTTAAAACCGTTGGCCTCGGAGAGCACCCATAAAAAACCCGGTTCATACCTAATGCAAAGTGGAAATGTTGGCCTTAAACGATATGTTCTATAAAAAGTTTTGGTCTAATATGAAGAGAATTGTGTAAGGTATATATAAACGTTCAACCTGATTGGAATTTGACTGTTAATAATGACTCTAGCTTAATTATTTTGATAATTTTAATGAAAAAAATGTGTTTAAAATCGACAATGTTCACTGTGTGCACAGAACCCACTGAAAATATTTTATTTTCTCCCGGTTTTCACATATATAATAGAGTTCAGCATTCTGACGTACTTTGTCATTTGGTATAATACCAAAATCGACTTCTGAGTGACGGTAGAGGTTTGTCTCTGTAAATCCCGTGAATTTCAGTGGAGTGTCTCTATTTATCCCGAAGAAATTACACGAGTGTCTTCTATTTACCCCAAAGCATAAAAAAGGAAATAAGAAAATTTCTAGTGCCCTGACTATATGCTAATTAGCGCCAAAAGGAATGGTATAAAAATCTTGGTTTTAGGAAAAAAAAGCAAATTTTTAAACTGTATGCGTATTAATGCAAGGCATAGTCACACGGACTGGATAATATTCGAGAATATTCAAAGCAAACAATATGGATACTTTAGAAGAAATACACAGATGCTAGGGATTTTTGCGTATAAATACTTTCTTCAGCCCCCGTAAACCTCTTGATGCTCAATAAGATAGTTAAGATAGTGAAAGAATATTAACACGGTCTAGTTATGTATTATCACTAGTAAAGTTAATCTTTTTCTT